AAGACTGGATCCAGGAAACTCAGCAGAAATGACTGTCTCAAACCTTGATTTAAATGCACCCACAAGACATTCACAGAATCACAGAATGGTATGGGGTTGGAAGGGACCTCTGGAGATCATCTAGGCCAACCCCCTCCCAAAGCAGGGTCACCCAGAGCAGGTCCCACAGGAACGTGTCCAGGTGGGGTTGGAACCCTATCCCTGGGCACCACTGAAAAAAGACCGGCCCCATCCTCCTGACACCCACCCTTTAAGTATTTATAGGCATTGATCAGGTCCCCCCTCAGCCTTCTCTTCTCTAGACTAAAAAGACCCAAGTCCCTCAGCCTCTCCTTGTAAGAGACGCTCCAGGCCCCTCATCATCTTTGTAGCCCTCTGCTGTACCCTCTCCAGCAGTTGTCTGTCCTCCTTGAACTGGGGAGCCCAGTACTCCAGATGAGGCCTCACCAGGGCAGAGCAGGGCAGGATGACCTCTCTCAACCTGCTGGTCATACTCTTCCTGAGCCCAGAACTGGTCCCAGTGCTCCAGATGGGGCCTCCCCAGGGCAGAGCAGAGGGGCAGGATGACCTCCCTCCACCTGCTGCTCACACTCTTCCTGATGCCCCCCAGGATGCCCCTTCTTGGCCACAAGGGCCCATTGCTGGCTCATTGGCATCCTCTTGTCCACCAGGACTCCCAGGTCTATCTCCTCAGAGCTGCTCTCCAGCAGGTCAGCCCCAAACACCCTCAAAAGCTTGGTAATATCTTAGAGAGTATAAAGGAATTTCTTCCATGTGAAAGATTTTGAACTTAAAGTGCCAAAAACATTCCAAGGATGTTCTCTAATGTGTGTGAACACAGTACAAAAGCCAACAAAAATGGTATTTTTCTTAACAAATAATGATGCTTTGTACCTCTCTGCATGCTTTTCAACTCCAATTTCTAGAGTTTATCCATAGGAGCTGGAAAAGACTTTACATCAGGGGAAAAAAATATAAATTATGCTAACCAATGAAGAAATTTCTTCATGGTTATTCCATCATAGTGAAGAAGGTTTACAATTAGGGGTTACAGAGTTTGACTATTTATAAGTGATTATACTATGCACAAATCTTAAAAAGGAACTTTTTACCCCCAGCAAGGAGTATGACAGTAATTATTAGCTGTAGCAAAAAAAGCTCTAAGGGGACACAGCAGTACAACCTGCAGCTGTCACCTCCCCAGCACAAAAAGTACCGATTTTAGTGTCTCAAGATGCTCAGAAAGTTTTCCTTAAAATCTGCTACTTTCTGTGGTAGCAGAACTACCTTCGTCTTTTGGAAAAACAGCCTCACTTGAACGTGAGCATGAAATCAGTGACTATTGCCTGACTATTGTCAGTGACTATTGTACTTGAGGCTCAGTTCCGGGTGCCCCCCAGCAAGGAGTATGACAGTAATTATTAGCTGTAGCAAAAAAAGCTCTAAGGGGACACAGCAGTACAACCTGCAGCTGTCACCTCCCCAGCACAAAAAGTACCGATTTTAGTGTCTCAAGATGCTCAGAAAGTTTTCCTTAAAATCTGCTACTTTCTGTGGTAGCAGAACTACCTTCGTCTTTTGGAAAAACAGCCTCACTTGAACGTGAGCATGAAATCAGTGACTATTGTACTTGAGGCTCAGTTCCGGGTGCGACGTGACCACAACCCAACTGATGTTGTGGCTAACGTCTCACAAGACCTAATTAATAACACCAGAGCAGTTATTGGGAGAGTTAACAGCAGATTTTATTTTATTTTATTCTTTTTTTATGTCAGCAGAGGGCGCTGAAAACATTTAACCAGAAACCAACTGATAAGCAACACCATTGCCTTCAAAAAGTTTGGCTTCTGAAGCAAATTCGGTGCAGTGAAAAGCAACAAGCTGGATGTCAAGCAGCTATATTTCAAATATGATTTTAACAGGTGCATTTATTTATTTATTTCATATATTTCAGTTCATTGCAGCGTTTGACAGTGAGTGTAGCCAGCCATATAGAATGGTATATAGCTTTACTTCGCTCTGATGCTTAATCCCAGAATTAGTGGCCATTCCATCTTTAGCCACGTTTAAATAAATCCCCTTTGCATCAGTGCTGCAAGAGAAAATGAACTTTGAAAAACAAATTCCTCTCTAGTAAAAACTAGAATCAGATGGAGAAGCACACCCCAAAGTGCAGAAAGGGAAGCACCTCACAGAAGTGTCAAGCTTCATCTCGAGACGCTTCTTTTTCAGCTCCAGTTTTAAGTTGACAGCGTGGCCCTTCAAAGCAGTTTCTTTTCTGCTTTTTGGCTGCAGTTTCTGCTGCCCTAGGACTTTTTGTGTGCCTACTTCCCTTTTCATTTTTCATCATCTGTTTCCGCCTAAATCCCAGATGCAATTTCTCCCTGGGGTGCTGCCCAGCGCTGGTGTCACAGCCCTGCAGGCAGGCAGGGGAAAGCAAACTGCCCTCCAAACATAAGACTGAGAAAAGATTAAATTCAAAAAGGAGTGAAGAGGTTCAGCATCACCAATATCAGAGGTGAATACACTAAAAGGGAATATGGCCAAAATAAAATGCACAAGAGCAGCTCTCTATACCTGATGATACACGGAGTGCAATACTTCAGTGTGAAGGCACTCACAAAAATATCTGTACAAAAATATCTTCCAAAACAGCAGCTCTGTAAAGTGAAAAGTTCCAAAGTCCAGCACCTACGCAGGAACTCCTCATTTTTGGTAAGAATTATCACAGGAGGAACATGCAAAGCAGCCTCAACTCTTGTGTGTCTACTCCCTGCAGCAAAGTGGGAAACTGCTGAAAGATTCACGTGAGGCACTGCCAAAACAAGGCAGGGAATATCCAAAAGACAGCTCAAGATGTAAAAGAAACTGAAATATTGCTGGTACCTTTCCCTTCCCCCATTTCCCCATTCCCAACTGCAGCTAGCTGCTGCTCCAGAAGGGGTTTTGGAAAAACAAAATTGGAGGGGGGTTGTTGCAGGAGGCTTTGAAAAGCTGCATTTCCATTTGGTTTGAAGAACGTTACACCTGAGGGATTGTGCAAGGGCACGGTTAGTTCTGTTTCTTCACAGAGTGTTGAAGGTTTTGGAAACCTGATCCACCTCCTCAGAATGCCAAGTCATCACTTCCAGAGTTAAAGATCACTCTCCAAGTTAAAGGAGAGCAATCTCACTTCAGAACTTTGTTACAAAAGTGATTCATTTCTCCCCAAATTCAACACCAGCATTTCCCTGCTGATGATGAAGACCATCATGACTGGCAAGCACTAAAATTGGTGTGGTTTTTTTTTAAATATTCTTCTAAATCATCATTACTCAAGTCCCATACTCCCTGTTCCAAGAGGACCACATGGACATTTGTCTCCCATCTCAAACCATTCCTTGCAACACCCTGGCCAGCCAAGGACGTCCAGATGGGAGACCACCACCCCACTGATTGCCAGTTTTATCCACAAGCTCTCACCATCCCGATGAACTGATGCAAAAGAGGAGGCTTGGAACCAGCCTATACCATCAGAGCAATAAGATTTGTAAATCAAGGCTGCACTTACCCTGGGTTCCCACTAGTACCATTGGAATTTCACTAGTGTTACGATAGTTCGCCATACGGCTGTAGTAGTGGTAAACAGTCTGGAAGCTAATCTCATCTTCCAAGCTGAAGACAAATATAACAGCATCCACCCACATGGCAAACTGCAGAATAAAAATGGAAAAGGCATACCGTGAGACAAAAAGTCAAGAGGAAAAAAAAAATAAATAAAGAGAAACATTTTTACCTTACTCGGAGGTACTTACATCTGAGAAGCTTTGTTAGGGACAATAACCAAGGCTTTAAAAGTGGGATATCATTACTAAAATGATGAATTAACATTAATCACCCTGCAAGTGATGGGGATCTGGGATATGGAAAGGTTCTTCCCCACGTTCCAAACTGCATCTCTTTCTTTGCTGGTATATGGTATGACAAGCCCAAATACTACCAGTGCAGACTGGTTTCGATTCACAGAAAAAGAAAACATCTCAGCCTCAGATTTCTGAATTTGTGAATTGTAAATGAAAAACCGTATTTGCTCTATTTGGCACGTTATCTCCCCGGTTGGTATATGGTATGACAAGCCCAAATACTATCAGTGCAGACTGGTTTCGATTCACAGAAAAAGAAAACATCTCAGCCTCAGATTTCTGAATTTGTGAATTGTAAACGAAAAACCCTATTTGCTCTATTTGGGACGTTATTTCCCCACCCTGTGCTTTACATGCATGTGTGCTGATGTTTCTGTTAATGCCAGGACAAGTATTATGGCTGTGGTTCCACAAGCACTGCTAGTAATTCCCATACCTTCATCAATGCCCAAAAACATTAAATTTCAAACTTCCAATTCTTCCCTGTACAGACCCTCTCACTGAGCAAACAGTACCAAATGCCTCATTCAGCCTGAAAGCAAATTCTTCTCTCCTGGCATCAGTAACCTGGTCAAACCCATGCAGATGTACATGCCAAGGCAAGGTGCTGCTTAAGTGACCATGCAAGTGAAGAAGTTTTAGCTCACAAGTGGACTGTTTAAACACATTTAACGTAACAGTAAACACACACAGGACAGCAAAAGAAGACTGAAGTTAAGCTTACCTCGCTGCCTTTATTTTTCCCTAAGTGACTCCATTCCTACCCAAATTCAGAACTGCTTCAGTCACCAGTTTGTAGATTCACACCATCTCAGCTTTTAGTAAGGCATCCCAAGCTGGCATAGGCAAAGGGAATTAAAAAACCCAAAAAGGTGGCGAGGTGGTGGTATGGAGTTACATACTGAAGTTGCTGAGCTCACGGTTTGTTTCTGCTCTTTGCAGAACTGCTTCAATCACCAGTTTGTAGATTCACACCATCTCAGCTTTTAGTAAGGCATCCCAAGCTGGCATAGGCAAAGGGGATTAAAAAACCCAAAAAGGTGGTGAGGTGGTGGTATGAAGTTACATACTGAAGTTGCTGAGCTCATTACATTTTCCTTTTTCAGAAGCAAGAGCTAGTAGCACTTTTTGCTTATTTTTCATAGAGCCCATTAGCTAATAATTTAAGTTTTATGACTGTATTGTACTTGAAACCAAACACATCTCTTTTGGTTACAGCGTAAATATTGCTGGTACCTTTCCCTTCCCCCATTTCCCCATTCCCAACTGCAGCTAGCTGCTGCTCCAGAAGGGGTTTTGGAAAAACAAAATTGGAGGGGGGTTGTTGCAGGAGGCTTTGAAAAGCTGCATTTCCATTTGGTTTGAAGAACGTTACACCTGAGGGATTGTGCAAGGGCACGGTTAGTTCTGTTTCTTCACAGAGTGTTGAAGGTTTTGGAAACCTGATCCACCTCCTCAGAATGCCAAGTCATCACTTCCAGAGTTAAAGATCACTCTCCAAGTTAAAGGAGAGCAATCTCACTTCAGAACTTTGTTACAAAAGTGATTCATTTCTCCCCAAATTCAACACCAGCATTTCCCTGCTGATGATGAAGACCATCATGACTGGCAAGCACTAAAATTGGTGTGGTTTTTTTTTAAATATTCTTCTAAATCATCATTACTCAAGTCCCATACTCCCTGTTCCAAGAGGACCACATGGACATTTGTCTCCCATCTCAAACCATTCCTTGCAACACCCTGGCCAGCCAAGGACGTCCAGATGGGAGACCACCACCCCACTGATTGCCAGTTTTATCCACAAGCTCTCACCATCCCGATGAACTGATGCAAAAGAGGAGGCTTGGAACCAGCCTATACCATCAGAGCAATAAGATTTGTAAATCAAGGCTGCACTTACCCTGGGTTCCCACTAGTACCATTGGAATTTCACTAGTGTTACGATAGTTCGCCATACGGCTGTAGTAGTGGTAAACAGTCTGGAAGCTAATCTCATCTTCCAAGCTGAAGACAAATATAACAGCATCCACCCACATGGCAAACTGCAGAATAAAAATGGAAAAGGCATACCGTGAGACAAAAAGTCAAGAGGAAAAAAAAAATAAATAAAGAGAAACATTTTTACCTTACTCGGAGGTACTTACATCTGAGAAGCTTTGTTAGGGACAATAACCAAGGCTTTAAAAGTGGGATATCATTACTAAAATGATGAATTAACATTAATCACCCTGCAAGTGATGGGGATCTGGGATATGGAAAGGTTTTTCCCCATGTTCCAAACTGCATCTCTTTCCATGTTGGTATATGGTATGACAAGCCCAAATACTATCAGTGCAGACTGGTTTCGATTCACAGAAAAAGAAAACATCTCAGCCTCAGATTTCTGAATTTGTGAATTGTAAACGAAAAACCCTATTTGCTCTATTTGGGACGTTATTTCCCCACCCTGTGCTTTACATGCATGTGTGCTGATGTTTCTGTTAATGCCAGGACAAGTATTATGGCTGTGGTTCCACAAGCACTGCTAGTAATTCCCATACCTTCATCAATGCCCAAAAACATTAAATTTCAAACTTCCAATTCTTCCCTGTACAGACCCTCTCACTGAGCAAACAGTACCAAATGCCTCATTCAGCCTGAAAGCAAATTCTTCTCTCCTGGCATCAGTAACCTGGTCAAACCCATGCAGATGTACATGCCAAGGCAAGGTGCTGCTTAAGTGACCATGCAAGTGAAGAAGTTTTAGCTCACAAGTGGACTGTTTAAACACATTTAACGTAACAGTAAACACACACAGGACAGCAAAAGAAGACTGAAGTTAAGCTTACCTCGCTGCCTTTATTTTTCCCTAAGTGACTCCATTCCTACCCAAATTTAGAGCAAGTTTCAGCCATTGATATTCACACTTTTTAGTTTATAACTACTATAACATGCCAGGTAGACTGGGGACACACTGAACATTCAAAGAGCAGCAAGGAGGTTTATTTGGGAAACATTTCTATACGTTTTGCTGAGTTTCACAAGACTAGCCTAGGCTTGTGAGCTCTTACTTCAGCCCTACCGACTCCGGTGGGTTTGTTTCTGCTCTTTGCAGAACTGCTTCAATCACCAGTTTGTAGATTCACACCATCTCAGCTTTTAGTAAGGCATCCCAAGCTGGCATAGGCAAAGGGGATTAAAAAACCCAAAAAGGTGGTGAGGTGGTGGTATGAAGTTACATACTGAAGTTGCTGAGCTCATTACATTTTCCTTTTTCAGAAGCAAGAGCTAGTAGCACTTTTTGCTTATTTTTCATAGAGCCCATTAGCTAATAATTTAAGTTTTATGACTGTATTGTACTTGAAACCAAACACATCTCTTTTGGTTACAGCGTAAAAATAGCCAAAAATGATTTGAGGTTTTCAAGACAGTCAGGAGGACGATCAACTATATGTTAAGGATAGGACTATCTACACACAACACAGTTACTGCCAGAGCAGCGTGGTCGACTACCACACTATCAAATTTGAACTCTTCAAACCCAAAGATCTAACCAAAGGAACCAGAGTCGTTACTGTGGACTTGGTTTTGGGTCTTGTTATAGAATGGTTCTTGCTGACTGGACTCGGCAGCCTCACGCCAAGAATTCCTCCTTACAGCTTCAACATCCTTAAAGCATCAGTTTGGATCTCTCTAAATTTTTTTAATGTTTCATCAGTGTGCACCAGGAGCCTTCTAATGAATATTATTAATTTAAAAAAAAAATCCAGAGGGTGGTTATTCAATGCAGTGTCTTCCAGACACGAAATACTCCCAGTAATTTCTTACTTTATTTTTATATTAACATAAGTTTAAGCTTTATGGGTACCAGACCTGTGATACTAAAAACCAAAGGATTTTTGGAAAACATGCAGAAGGTCTGGAAACCCAGGATGTCTCCTCCACAGCCCTGTGCAGAGAACAGCTTGAGATAAGGACAGCTCAGCGGCTGATACATAAATCCATCTTGATACTTACTACTGTGATTGAGCAGATTCGTTTGTTCAAGGTAAGTCCAAACAAAACCAAACCGTATATAAAAGTTCTAAATTTAAAAAAATAGCACATGACAGCTCATTATAGCTCAGTTATGTTAATCAAGTTTTCCAATAGGAGGCCACTACATCTGTAACAGATGACAGCAAGTCAAACCTGGTGAGCAAAAGAAACGGTCAATATTTTAGTGGCAAGGCTGAAGCAGCATCCATTAGTGCATCTCACTGTCATCTTGTTCTGTGGAACTGAAACGAGCTATTTTTTTTAATTATTTTTGTCTCTGGACAATCTTATGTTAAACAAGAGAGATCATAGATCTAGAAAGTGAGTCTTCAGATGAGCTCATACTCCCTCCCTTCCTGCCAAAAACTGAGATAGTCAACTGAGCCTTCTCCAGCTCATCAACTGGGGACCTCTCCCTGACCCCATGGCCACTGGAGTGCCAGGATGACCCCAGTTCACATTCTTACTTATTGAGGCTGTAATTCTATCCCAACTACCCCCAAAATTATACTGTGCAGTTGCAAAAAGCAGAACCACGATGCTTTCTATATCATAAGTAAATAGCGGGAGGTAAACGTTTTTCTTTTGATAATGTGATATCATTTTCATTATCGAGTTAGAAATATTCATGAACCCAGGAGTAAACTTTTTCTTCCAGGAATTAATAAACAGATTAAAGATCTTCAATATATATGTGACTTGAAATTATACCTAAAAAAATCCTAAAATATTTTCTGAAAGATGAAATAGCACTAACACCTTAAACCTTTCCCTGCTCGTTATTTGCTGAAGAACAAATCTCAGCCACAACAGTCATTAAAAACCCCAAATTTACCTAGCATAGGTCACAAGCAAACCACTGGCTGTTCATTAGTTTGCAGTTTGTTCACCTGAACTCTGCAAAAACCAATTCTCCAGACGCAAAAATATTTATACTGCTGTGTGTACCTTTACCACTCCAGTATTTATGTTTTTATAGGAGTGAATGTCCTCTAAGCATCGGGGCCTAGAAACTGTTGTGTACTGCAGCCAAATTCTTCACAGCCTAAAACAGAGCTCTTCTTTTAGGCTCATGCCTCACACGGCTGCAGATGTGTCAGTGACACTCATTTTTTTTTGTTGTTTTTATTTTAACTTCCTTCCAGGATGTCTCTCTCGGTCTCCGTTTCCTCCATCTCCTTTCTCTTCTCCTTTGTCCAGGCACCTTCCCCCCCAAAGCTCTTCTCCTCCTGCAGCTAATGAGCAATAATGGAGCATTGAAACACAAGCTGCTGCCGCTGGCACCGCTCCCATTCAGCTGTTTGGCGACAGCACAGTTCCTCCTGCTAAATTTTTCTTCATTTATTTATTTATTTTTATTTTTTTGAAGACGATCCACCACTGAAGAGCCGAGCAAAGCAAGGCCGGCGGCAGCCAACGCACTTGAGAAATCCCTTAGTGCTCAGGTAAGAAGAGGTAGAGGTGATACAAGGGAGGATGGCTGAAGACAAGGCCATCTTCAGATGGGCTGGAAGAATGTGGTGATTTAAGCATCTCCTAAACAAATGCTTCACTTCACATCGCTCTAAATAGAGTAATGGAATTAAGCACACAAAACCCCAAGTGTCTTCTCAAGGTAAATCCTGATAAGCCACCTTCTATGAGACAAGGAGGTAACACACCGTGTACAAAAACCAAGTCAGAAATCAGAGAATCATAGAACAGATAGAGTTGGAAGGGACCTTCAAGATCATCCAGTTCCAACCCCCCTGCCCTGGGCAGGGACACCTCCCACCAGAGCAGGTTGCTCCAAGCCCCATCCAGCCTGGCCTTGAACCCCTCCAGGGATGGGGCAGCCACAGCTTCTCTGGGCAACCTGTTCCAGGGTCTCACCACCCTCACAGCAAAGAAGTTCTTCCTGGTATCTCATCTCAATCTCCCCTCTTCCAATTTCAAACCGTTCCCCCTTGTCCTGTCACTGCACTCCCTGACAAAGAGTCCCTCCCCAGCTCTCCTGGAGCTCCCTTCAGATATTGGAAGGCTGCTCTGAGGTCTCCCTGGAGCCTTCTCTTCTCCAGGCTGAACAACCCCAGCTCTCTCAGCCTGTCTTCACAGCAGAGGTGCTCCATCCCTCTCATCATCTTCGTGGCCCTCCGTAGGACCTGTTCCAACAGGTCCATGTTCTTCCTGTGCTGAGGACTCCAGAGCTGGACACGGTGCTCCAGGTGGGGTCTCACAAGAGCCAAGTAGAAGGGTAGAATCACCTCCCTGGCCCTGCTGGCCACAATCCTCTTGATGCAGCTCAGGATGGGGTTGGCTTTCTGGGCTGCCAGTGCACGTCGCCAGGTCATGTTGAGCTTCTCATCCATGAGCACTCCCAAGTCCTTCTCCTCAGGGCTGCTCTCCAGCCACTCTCCACCCAACCTGTATTTTTGCAGGACCTTGTCTTTTGGCCTGGTTGAACTTCATGAGGTTTGCATGAGCCCACCTCTCCAGCCTGTGCAGGTCCCTCTGGATGCCATCCCTTCCCTCCAGTGTGTCGACCACGCCACCGAGCTTGGTGTCATCAGCAAACTTGCAGAGGGTGCTCTCAATCCCACTGTCCATGTCTCCAACAAAGACAAATCTGAGAACTCAGCAGTGATGAACTGGAACTTGCAAAGTTGAGTCTTAAATGGCACAGGGAGCAAAACACGGCAGCAATAGGGGATGGAAAGATTTATATGCAATTATGTGTGTCATTGTGCGTACAGGTCCTTTGTATTTGAACAATTTAGAGATTCACACTCAGAAGAAAACTTCTGACTGTAACATGTAACTTTGCCATTACCCAGGCATTTGAATGCATTAATTAGGCCTTCAGTAGAAGTTAACCACGTATCTCTGATTACTACACCATTTCATATCCTAATTGAAATCCCAAATATTTTGTAACCAGATCATTTTTCACCCAAGGTTGACGTATACATTTTGCCAGCAGAAGGATGAAAAGGACCCAGGAAAGAACAAAACAAAGCCAGTTCTCTTTAAGGAAGATGGAGGGTTTTTTTGTTTTGGGGGGTGTTTTGGGGGGTTTTTTGGGGGGTTTTTCTTGTTTTTAAGAGAAAGGAAAGGTGGTGTTAGGTTCATAAAGCTCTATATTGGCAGTGCTCACCTGTGCCTCTGGAGGGCCCCCTTCATCTCTAATCAGCAGCAGATAGCTTTGTCCATCAACTACTATCTCTTTCTTGAATCTCCCACCTGTCACACAAAATAACTCATTACAGGACAGAAAAGGCAAAAAAATACAACAGAAAAAGGCTTCGCTTGCGGAAAAAAAAAAGGTGTCCTTAAGATCTTTTGCAAATTAACGAACTACTGTAAATAGAAGTTAAGTTCATACGCATAGAAATTACACAAGAAAGTGTACTCACGTACTTAAAAAATAAAGCTCATGTGGAAAAAGTCAACATTTGTGTTGGCTTTTTCCCCACTAACTCCCATGTTAGGTGTGCTTGCTTTTGGTACATACAGTTAAGAGACAATCACCTTTGTTTTATAGAATGGTGAGAGCTGTATCTCTGAAAGGCAAACATGGGCCAGTGGCATCTGATCAGCATCTTGTCTTAGAATTACAATAAATTTCTTGTGTCAATCAGCATTTCCTCAAGAGAAGCCCAGTTCTTACAGCACACATGTAATGTTATGAAAATGAGAATTCTATATTCACAAACCACAGTTAGGGGAAAATACTAGACACATGTTAGACAAAAAAAAAACTACAATGGTGGTACCTCCGTAGAGATGGAACTAAACTAACGGAGAACGTTGTGCCACTTATTAGCAGGATGAATTAAAGACCTATTTTTGGAGATTTAGATAAAAAGAGCAGAGTCACAGCCTTCAGCCAGCTTCTATTCCTGACCCTATTATTTCAGGGAGATGTAGGATATTGAGTGCTTTCTGAAGACCAAAGAGCTGGCACTGAACCTAAGAAACCAAAGAGGGGTGTGCAGCTGCATCCTTGCCTTCCCTCACCACTGGCCTGACGGGGACATCAAGCATGACCCAAGGGCAGAATTAGGATAACTTTCCTTTGGAGTTAAGCATATTTTGGGCAGCCCGCTGTGCCTCGTGACGGACTTCAGATAATGACAAATCACATTTAGGATTTCTGGTGTGACCAAAAAGCCTCAGCCAGGATTAGCAAACTTGGCCTGCCTAAGTAGGTTGGGTTGCATTTCGGCTCCTCTCCTGGAAGCAAAAGCACCCGTTATCTCCCCCCACCTAAACCAAAAATGCCCCAAGGACTCCATCCTCCATCAGCACCATCCAACTGCCTCACATCTGAATTTACCAGACTAAACATCTAAACGTCTCTCTTCACCCCCTTTTTTCTTTTTAAACTGGAATTATTTCCAATTTGAACCCTATTTCCCAACAACACTTACTTCAAAACTTGTACTATCAATGCAATTAAACACGTGGTAGGTGAGTGAACCACTCTGACTTTTTCCTCCAAAGAAGCCCTCTAAGCAACTAAATCAGCACATAGGGGCTAACACTGATCCTCAAAACATTTGCACAAAAATTGTTAGCCCTAGGGAAAAAAAACCACCAGCTCAGACCCACCACTCCCCCAGTCCAACCATTACAGCAGGCTGTAAATCAAGATCACTCAATAGTTCAGCTACCTGCAATATTTAAACACATTTAAGCATTTTCATATTTAATAGAAGTAGTAAGAACAGGGGGGTTTGTTTATGGTTTTGTTGTTGACTTTGCATTGGCTTTTTGGGTATTTGTCAATTTTTTTGTTTTTGTTTTTTTTTTTTTAATTATTTTCTTAATACACCTACCCTATTAAGAGCAGGTTAGCAGTACCAAACATGCAATAATTAAGACTGTCACATTTCTGGTTCTTTAATTGCACAGGAGTAGAAAAGCTATGAATAGATTTTCATTATCTTGCTCACAAACTGGATTTCAATTTTGCCTTTGAAGATCAAGTGGCAGATAAATATATATCATTAGTGAACTTGAAAAGAAGGATCAAAACCAAGCATAAAACTCTGAGAGGAAACCGGTGTCAGGTCTCAGGAACTGAATTTCTATTAAGCAGATCATTATTTCTATATGTCATCAGTTAATTGTATATAATTCATAATGAAATGTTAAATAAGATTAATTACCTAATATACAGCCCTCCAGAGAGGCTCTTTAAAGCTGTAAGTAACAATGGAAATGCAGTATATACGTGATCGAAGAGTGAAAGTTCTGTGTAATTGCCATTTCCTATTTCCTTTTTTTAAACACCGAAAGTTCACACAGCTAATTATAAAATACCATCAACCGAGCACATTTAAGAGCCGACTCATTATTCCCTCTTGTCAATAGGATGCCTTTCAAGTCTCACTGTATCTTCAAACTGCCCTCAGAGGCACAAAGAAGGTGCACACAAGGTGAAATAAAAAGCTTAAGTAGAGAATTGAAGGAAAAGAAATCAGATCTACGGATGTAGTATTTAAATGTAAATACACAGATCATAAATGTGAGCGCTACAAGATTTATTTTTGAGAGCTACATCATGGTCACTAAAGATTTTGTTTGCAGAGGCAGGTTTGAGAAATGTACCATATTTAGCAAATACAGTAAAAAGTTATCCAACGTCTCTCTTCCTATAAGAATCCAGAGCAAGTGACCAGCTCGTATATCTCTTCCCTGCCTTCCCCAAAAACACTGTGCAGGGAGCTTGGTACAATGACAGTATGTTTTTATTTTCATTATTAATTGAAATCTTGACATCCTGTACCACCTCACTGTCTGTCATGGTGGAAGGGCAGTGCTGGAGTCAACAAGCATTCAGTCAACTCAAATCTATTCAAGTGGCTTCATCACCTGAAATAAAAAGCTTAAGTAGAGAATTGAAGGAAAAGAAATCAAATCTATGGATGCAATATTTAAATGTACATACACAGATCATAAATGTGAGCACTACGAGATTTATTTTTGAGAGCTACTAGAGAATTGAAGGAAAAGAAATCAGATCTACGGATGTAGTATTTAAATGTAAATACACAGATCATAAATGTGAGCGCTACAAGATTTATTTTTGAGAGCTACATCATGGTCACTAAAGATTTTGTTTGCAGAGGCAGGTTTGAGAAATGTACCATATTTAGCAAATACAGTAAAAAGTTATCCAACGTCTCTCTTCCTATAAGAATCCAGAGCAAGTGACCAGCTCGTATATCTCTTCCCTGCCTTCCCCAAAAACACTGTGCAGGGAGCTTGGTACAATGACAGTATGTTTTTATTTTCATTATTAATTGAAATCTTGACATCCTGTACCACCTCACTGTCTGTCATGGTGGAAGGGCAGTGCTGGAGTCAACAAGCATTCAGTCAACTCAAATCTATTCAAGTGGCTTCATCACCCTCAAAGGCTGAATGCGCTCGTTATCTAGAATATGCACTAGTTCCTTGCACATCCTCATGCATTTATTTATCTTTGAGTTTAGGTGTTTATATATAGTTTATATATACTATTATAAAATAGTTTATTAACCCTCTCAACCAAAATGTTTACAAGACTGCCCTACACTCCCAACCTGTGATATTTCAAATCAAATCTGAAAATTCAGAAAAATTTGAGATCAAAGCAGGATGCATCCCTATTAACTTATGTTTCTACACCATTAAAGAGCCTGGGTCACGAGCACATCAGAACATCAGGTACTACGTAGGGCAGAGATTGAGAAAACCTACCTCAACACCAAGAATTTACACGTCCAAAAATATAAACACTGAAGAATATACAGACTTCTGCCAGTGTAGGAAACCAAGGCCACGTGGGCTTCCTGCAGATATCTGTGGTCTTAAGATTAAGACAAACAATAGACCTGTTCTACCTTTAACTTGATGAGCCCTGATGCGACCCATCTCCAGGCCAGGCAAGGAAAAGCAGCACGAGGGAGGTGATTTGAGGATGGTTTGGCTTGGACAGCACTGCACTAGTAATTATTTAAAAAAAAAAAAATAAAAAATACACTTTTGGAATTTATAAAGCATCACAGGGCCACCAGGAAAGATGAATTCAACAGATCAGCCAGCTTAAATATTGAACCGCCACAACCTGCCGAAGACGTCAAGAAGTCTCCCATTGCTACAAAAATACCACTGTGTTTTTTGGAAATACCTGTAAATATGACGAAGCCGCAAAACTCTGTCTGAATTGATGCCACTGAAAACAAAAGGAATGACCTTCTTAAAGAAGGAGCTGGTGACAGCACAGCAGCATTCCCACGGGAGGCAGGTAGCTTTGTTCCAGCCCCGTCAGTACCGTGACACACGCAAAGCTTTTTAATGAGGGAGTTTCTCAACTCCCCGACCATGTACCTGCCAAAGGGAGGTCGTTGGAAAGAGAAAGCCTGGCAGCTCCCCTCTGAGGGGATGGAGCCCTCGCTCCTGCCATGTGTCTGACGGGCACGACACGGCACCAAGACGCTGGAGAGCATTTAAGTCAACCACGTTGACTTGCGAGCCCTGATCCCCTCGATAAAAGCCCTAGAAAAGAGGTGCCAGTGAATCGCTAAATAACTCTCTGCGGCCAGACAGATGGGAGCTGGCAACTGTTTTAATGAAATATCACAGCAAATTGATAAAAACAAAATCACTGAAACTGTGGGGAAGCTTTAATTTGGGAGCGCTTTAGTACGCGGTTTATTTATCACAGAATCACAGAATCTTCTAGGTTGGAAGG